CTTTCCCAAGTCATGGTGAGCCATGCCATGATTTACAAGACTTTAACCTAAATCAGGGTTGGCAACACTTTTGGGCTGAGTGCCAAAAAACCCCAAAACCTGGACTTGAAAGACATTGGCATGCCAGGGGTGGATGGCGGGGTAGCCACAAGGGGCCTGATCTTTATTGTGACAATGCAGCCCTGGCCATTTCTGCCCCATGCTCCCTGAGGTGCATGTGCAGCCGCTGCCAGCAACAAGCTGGGTTAGGGCTCTGGACCCCAGTGGAGCTGCTTGCTGCCTTCTGGTTGCCTGCTGCAGGCAGCCCAAGCTCTGGGCAGTCCCCTGCTGCCTGAGATGGAGCCTGGGCTGCTCACAGCAGAGCTCACCATCTGCTACAAGCAGCTTGGGCTCCAGGCAGGCCCCTGCCACCTGCCATGGAGCCCAGGCTGCTCACAGTGGGCAGCTGTGAGCCTGCAAGCAGCTGCACCAGGGTCCAGGGCCCCAGCCCGGTTCGTTGTTGACAGCAGCTACATGCACAACTAAGGGCACACAGAAGAGAAGTGGCAAGGGTCAGTGCAAACCCAGCTCTTTCTCTGCTATGCACCCCATGGTACACATGCAGCCACTGCCACCACAGAGCCAGGGCTGCTATCAGCAGGCTCCTTCCCCACTATGTGCCCCAAATGCACGTGCAGGCATCACCGGCCACAGAGCCGAGCCAGGGCTCTGGACCCCAGTGCAACCAGTGCACAGCTGCCTGCCACATCCAGCCTGGGCTCTGGGCAGCTGCTGCCTGCCACAGAGCCCAGGTTGCTCACAGCCAGGTGCCAGATGACTGGAAGAAAGCCAACGTGGTCCCCATCTTCAAAAAAGGGAAGAGGGAGGACCCCGGCAACTATAGGCCCATTAGCTTACTTCAGTCCTGGGGAAACTCTTTGAGAAGATCCTCAAGGAGCACATCTGTGATGGGCCAGCAGCAGAGATGATGCTCAAGGGCAACCAGGACCGTTTCATTAGGGGCAGGTCCTGTCAGACCAACCTGACTGCCTTCTACGATCAGGTCATAAAAGCATTGGACGCAGGTGTCGCAGTGGATGTAGTCTTTCTGGACTTCAGCAAGGCCTTTGACACAGTTGACCACCCCATTCTCATCAAAAAACTAGGTGACTGTGGCATTGATGCCTACACAGTCAGATGGATTGTAAATTGGCTGAAGGGTCGTACTCAGAGGGTGGTGGTGGATGGGTTTTTTTCAACCTGGAGGGAAGTGGGCAGTGGAGTCCCCCAGGGCTCGGCCCCTTGGGCCCGCACTGTTCAATGTCTTTATTAGTCACTTGGACGACGGGGTAAAAAGCAGCCTGTTTAAATTTGCTGATGATACCAAGATTTGGGGTGAGGTGGGCACAATAGTAGGGAAGGACAGATTACAGCAGGACCTGGACAAGTTGCAAGGGTGGGCTAATGAAAATAGGATGGATTTCAATACTGACAAGTGCAGGGTGCTGCACTTGAGCAGTGGGAACCAGCAGCACACTTATAAGATGGGAAACTCCCTTCTCAAGAGCACGGTGGCATAAAGAGATCTTGGAGTCATTATTGACTCCAAGATGAACATGGGCTGACAATGCGAGGTCACAGTCAGTAGGACTAACCGTACCTTGTACATCCACAGATGCATTTCAAGCAGGGCCAAGGAGGTGATCCTCCCCCTCTAAGTGACACTGGTCAGGCTGCAGCTGGAGTACTGTTCAGTTCTGGGTGCCGCACTTCAGGAGGGATGTGGACAACATGGAGAGGGTCCAGAGGAGGGCCACCCGCATGATCCGGGGACAGCAGGGCAGACCCTACAATGAGAGGCTACAGGGCCTTAACCTCTTCAGCGTTTACAAGAGAAGGCTGAGTGGGGACCTGGTGGCCATCTATAAACTCACCAGGGGGGACCAGCAGGGTTTGGGAGAGACCCTGTTCCCCCTAGCGCCCCCCGGGGTAACAAGGAATAACGGCCACAAATTGTTAAAGAGTAGGTTTAGACTAGACATCCGAAGACGCTACTTCACAGTCAGGGCGGCTAGGATCTGGAACCAACTTCCAAGGGAAGCGGTGATGGCTCCTACCCTGGGGGTCTTTAAGAGGAGGCTTGATGTCTACCTGGCTGGGGTCATTTCAGCCCGGTTTTCTCTCCTGCCCAGGGCAGGGGGTCGGACTTGATGATCTACAAGGTCCCTTCCAACCCTACTTCTATGAATCTATAAGGCTCACAGCCTCCCTCTCTGCTACCTGCTGCAAGCAGCCTGGGCTCCATGGCCAGTGGCAGCTGCCCAGAGATCAGGCTGGCTGTGGCATGCCAAGCAAAACGGCCTCACGTGCCATGCTCTGGCACGTGTGTCGGGGGTTGCTGAATACTGACCTGATCCAACCTTCTGGGCCAGTAATGGCTGAGAATGCTGGATGTTTAATCTTTAGAACAGAGGAGCCCAAGAGAGTATGCTCCTTTGGGGCAGGGACCATCTCTTTTTCTTATGTCCTTAAAACAATATGTGGTTTAATCTCTTGATACCACTACAATACAAATAGTAAGAAAGAGCACCTCCAAAGTTAACACCTGCTAGTGTACACAAAGTGCTGTTGAATGGCTCCAGAAGGTAATTGTCCAATCCACCCTCCAGAGAAAGCTTTGCCACACCATAAAGCTGGAGTCTAACAGGATTAAGCAGACCACTACTAAAAATACAACTTGCCTGCTTTTTTGGGACCAAAGAGGGAAGACTATTACAAATCACTTCTCTCTATCACTAAAATACAAACAAGGAGTTTAAACCAAACTTACAGATCCTCGAAGAAACAAAATTGGAACACCAGTTCCAAACTTCTCATCTAAGGCACTCACTGCAGACATCAGCTGGCATGCTTGCTTCCCAAAATCCTGCAAATTACTTTCTGTCTCATCTGCAGCTGTGAAGCAAAAGGCTCTAAAAACAAACAAGAAAACAAGCACTAACTGCAAGGCACTAAACAGTCAAAAATAAGTAAAATAATAAAAATGTAATATAATGTAGTTCTATACAGTGATTTAATATTCAGTTGAATGTTTTACATTTGAACCTGTTATTAAATATATTTTAATTAATATTCATATGTACCATATTATTCTGATTAACAGTTTAACATTTTCAGGTTCATTTTTTAGGAAAAACAGTGCTTCACCCCTTCCCATATTAGTTAATGCCTTGGCAAGGGTCAACCAACAATTGGGTATTACAGCAGAATTATAGCATGACTGTCAGAAGTCCAGTTACAGGTCAATCATCTCGATAATCAAGTGTGATTTTAATGGTTATTTTTGCAGAGGGAAAAAATGTAGAACAATAATCAGAACAATACTCCATGTACTGTACATGCTATGTAACGTAATGTATGCCAAAATCTTTGGTATATCTGTGTTACAGTATTTATTGCTACAAACAGTCAGACCTATCAACATGTGACATAGTCAATGTCTAAACAACTTAATCTTTTATATTCTTCATACAAGAAACAATATTTGTATGGTAATGTCTTTTATTAGACCAACTTTATAGGTTGAGACATGCAAGGGAAGCTGTCAGGCAGAAAATTCCCCTCCTGGGAAAAAAGCAGATACAGATAAATCTGATATCTGAAGCAGATATCAGATAAATGTCAAGTGGAAGAATAAGAAATTTGATCATTTAAAAAAGGAAATGGGCAGCCTCTGGGAGCAAAGTAAAATAATCAGGATATAGCTACAAACCAAGTAAAAAGGCAGTAGAAATACATAAACCTAAAAGAATAAGATCATTAAAAAAGAAGAGGGCCATTCTCACCTGTGGAGCCCACAGAGGTCAGCAGTGAGACCAGACACATGCTTATGAGCTAAAAAAATGCTGCCTGTGTTAAATCCATGTTTTCTACTGTCCAACGTAGTTATGAATTTTAATTTCCAAGTCTGTCTTTTGAAGAAATGGTATAAGTTTCCTTTGAGAACAAGGACTGTTTGGTCAGAGATGGGGTGGGTTCTTCTGTGAAAATTGTTCAGCCACTGGCATTTGGATGTTTCTGTCTCTATCATTTTTCTGAGAGAATTCATTCTAGAGTGTTACGATAGCTTAGTTTTACCTAAAGATCTTCTACAAGGATATCTGGTACATTTAATGAGGCAAATCGCTTTTGTAATAGGAATGTGTAGGATGATCTTTGGGTGATTTTTGGTAGTCATTCAGATATGTCAAAAGATTTTGTATTTGTTTAAACAAGGTGCGGTTAAAGAACCATAGGTCAGAACAGACCTCAAGGATCATATAGTCCAACCCTTGAAAAAATGTAGGGCACACTATTCCTAAATCACCTCTGTCAAATGCTTATCCATCCTCTTCTCAAAACCCTCCAATAAAGAAGATTCCACAACTTTCCTGTGCAGCTCGTCACACTGTCCTACTCTCCTGAAAGATAAGACTTTTCCCCCCTGAGATTTAACCTAAATACGCTTTGCTGCAGTTTAAATCCACTGCCTTGTGTCCTGCCCTTTGCAGTAAGGGAGAACAGTGGTTGTTTTTCTTCCTGGAAGCCTTCACTATATTTGAAAACTTATCATGTTCCCCCTTAATATCCTTCTCTCCCAACTAAATCTACCAAATTCTCTCAACTTCTCATTGTAAAGCTTTTTGCTCCCAATCCCTTTTTCATCTTCACTGCTTGCTTCTGGTTCCTCTCCTGTTTCTCTACTTTCTTTTTAAAAATGTGGAACCCAGAACTGTGCATAGTACTCCAGAAGGAGGTCAAATCAGTGGCAAATAGAGTGGTATGAAAACCTCTTGTGTCTGTCCTGCATACAATACTCTCAATACTGTAGCCCCCAAAACGCATTCGCTTTTTTGGCAACTGCATCACGCTGATTCCTCACGTTGAATTTGTGATTCACCATAACAGTCACATGACAACATGACAATTATCTCCCGTTCTGTCATTTGTACCGGGGGGGGGGAGGGGGGAGGAGTTGTCTAGATGTAGCACTTTACATTTATCTTTACTCAATTTCATTCTTTTATCTAGTGCCAGGTTTCTAATCTATCAGGATTCTTTTGAACTCTAATCCTATAATCTAAACTATTTGCAACCCTTGAAGTTTTACATCATCTAAAGTCTTGATCAGGAAGCTATCTATTCCCCCATACAAATTATTAATAAAAATGTTAAATATCACCAGACCCAGAACAGATCTTTGTGGAACCCCATTTGTTCCATTTATTTTTTGTTGATCAGTGAAGAATTTCTTTGTAATGATGAGTCTGAGGAGGTTGAGGGGTTGTCCGAAAGCCTAGGTTGAAGGAGGAGGATTGGGAATATTTCTTTCAAGGTGTAACCTTTTTCAAGTATAGGCTGAAATAATTTAATAATCTTTCATATAAATTCCAATAAAAGATATTATCAAACAAAAATGCTTCTTAAGTATTTGAATATTTTACCCAACAGCCTATTTTTAATTATCCAAGGTTTTATTATTATTATTATTATTATTATTATTATTATTGGGGGGTGGGTGGGAGGGGAGAGAACAGAGGAAATAGAAAAAAGGAAAGCCTTACTATAAATTAAGAAAAAGGAATTTAAAAGTAGGTCTTCTGTGGAAGACTCGCACACAGCCCTGGATTTGCATCAAGATCTATTCCTTGGGCCTTTTTACTGGCACAGAAACCTTCAGGCCCATGTATCTTCCAAAGGGAATTTAAACGCAAGTTGAAAAATCATCTCTAAAATAAAGTTCTGCTTTCTCTTGGCTTTGGTGCAGCTGGGCACCATTCATAATAATTTGTGAACGTGTAGGAAGTGTAGCTGAATTCCTGATTTTCTTCTTAAAACAGCACTGTACAACTATTCACCTCAAACCAGAAATCTTACACTGCTAATAAATGCAGATGAACAGTCCATTAAAATAAAGTTTTAAAAAATTCTGGTTTTATCTGAATTTTTCCAACTATTTGAGTAGGCCTAATCAAAGATATCAGATTTACCTAAAGAACTCTGTCTGTTTTTTATCTGTGCATTATTCTAATACCCAGTGGTAGCATCTCCTCTCAGTAAATGGACATACACCAACATGAAGGTGACATACATTAGAGCAGTAATCACAGAAGATATTCCTTAACAGTCAGGCAAATTTTAAAAGTGCTTACATACTCAGCTTTCAAATTTTTTCTACAGAGGTTAATTCTTCAACAGGGATACCAAAAGGCTCAAAAATGTGTTTAATAACATAATTTCACAACCTCTAAAATACTTTATATAAGACACTAATAAAAGATGATTTCTGCAATTAAAAATATCCTAACAGGCTTTAAAACAACCTGGCTTTGGCCTGGCGAATCTCTTACACTCCATTACTGGGTGTAACCTACAATAGCACATACCATTAAACACAAAATAAACAAAATTTCAAAAAGCTTTCTGTATCGGTGTAAATACTTGCAAACTTCAGTGCATAAAAAACATAATATTTTTAGTAGAAATATTTTATGCAGTTATTTTATTTTGTCTCATATGTTATAGGAGAATAGATAAATCTCAGCCCTGCACTCATTGGGGAGGAACATTTACCTGGATCTGCAATTATCACAGCATTTTTCTGTTCCCATGATGCCAGAGGAGACCTTTCGGAGTTGTTTGTCTTCAAAATGGGACAAGATGATTCTACCCAAGAGAACATTGGGAATTAAATAAAAAGAACAAGAATTTACATGTTAAATTCATTCCGGAAAACAATGAGTTGAAATCATCCTCATTAATTGATTCTCCAGGGAGCCAATTATTTGACCTTGATTCATCCAGAGACAAGAAAGTTTGTTTTTGGAAAGTAAATAAGAAATACCTAATGCATGTATTTAATTGTGCCAAAGATAATAAATATTGCTTTTTATATAAAAATGAATTTTTGCAGACAAATTATGAATTTATATTCTGTGACTGAACTGCAATGTCCCCTAATAATTCCCTGTTGTGACTGTACATAAAATGTGCAGTGAAATACTGTAATACTCACCTCCTTCTGCAGCTGTTTGAGTTAAGATACTTTTCTATTTTTGCCATCATCTTTAACTTGTACAGTCGAAATGCTTCTTTACGTATCTCAGTGAGAAGATGTCTGTCAGTTAAAAAGAAAGACCAACAAATACTGATTACTGTTCACCCCTCACCTCCAAAGACTACATATTTACTCAAGTCAGATGCAAGTCCACTAGAAACCCTGAACAGCTGAAAAATGCACTTTAAAAAAAAATGTCTACAGGTTTCCCTTTCACTTTTAACTCTATAGGAGTAGCACACCTACCACATTCTATCTTGTGATTAATTGCACAATAAATGGCAACATGCAACACATGCAAGATATTTAAGATATGATAAAATACCAAAACAGCTTCAAAATATTGCACATTTGTGGCTGATTCTGAACATGTGGCATGTAGGCAACCAGGAGCCACCTGTGCAGCATGTTTCAAAGTATCACTGGGCTGCACTGAACTTTTTAAGTCTTGGGCCTGGAAAGCCCAATATCAGGGAGCCTCTCCCTTATGTTGGATACCCAGCATCCCAGGAGCTTTAAAAAGCAGGAGTGCAGCAGAATCCTGACTTTCAGGTCCCGGGGCACTGTGAGCCCAAGATCACGAAGCCTCCCTCCAAACTCAGAATCATGCCACACCTGGAACTTTAAAAAAAAAAAAAAAAAAAAAAGAGAGAGACTCCCTGACCTTGGGCCCTCTGCGTGCAAGATCTTTAAAAGGCTTAGTGCAGCCTAGCTGGACTGCTGCCCTGTGAACGTGCTGGTTACCTGCAGACCAGTATGTTCAAAGGGTGCACATGTAACTGGGCTGCATGCACTGTTCATGAATTACTATAATCCACGCATTAAAAATTAAGCACAATAAAAGCTATGTGGAACATCTTTGTGGCTAGGTTGATATTTTATTGCATCTTACACGCATGGCACAGCTACATGCCTACTTTTTAAAGGTCTGTGAGTCTAGACTCTCACCAATCTCACTCATAGCACTCCAGGACCTTAAAAAAGCAGGCATACATCCAAGACTGGGGAGCTCAGCTGTAACAAAGAACACGGACAAAATGGGAGAACTGGTTACCCCACGCTGGGATGGACAGCTCACTTTTCAAGTTGCCAGTGGCCAGGCAACCTGGCATCAGGGACCAGGTCCCAATACCAGGCTCCCTGCACTGGCAGTCATGCAATGGGGATTGCAGGAATTTTATCTTTGATGTCAAAAATCCCCCAAAGATTTTTGGGATTGGGAATAAAATTCCTTTGATCTCAATTGCATGATTGATTATACAGTATTAACATCTGCCAGGGGCCTCAAAGAAATATTTAATTCATGTCACTTTAGTTATACAGTTTATTTATCCATAAACATTTCAAATTACAATGTTCATAATAAAACCCCCTGCCTCCTGTTTATTTTGGCAATAAAATTAAATTCTGGATAAAGAGGGGAAAAAAATTACATTGACTCTATGCTGTTAACCAGTAATTTACCTGTTAAGAGTCATATCAGCTGGAGTCCACAATACAGAGCAAGAAGCAGGAAGTCCATCACGGCCAGCTCTTCCAATTTCTTGATAGTATGATTCCATTTCCTTAGGGGCTCCATAATGAATAACTCTCCGGATATCTGCTTTATTGATACCCATTCCAAAAGCCACAGTAGCAACAACACACTGTAAAACAAAGATAGCAGTACAACTGAACTTCTCTCCAGAGATTAGGCAGACTATAAACTGGTTTGTATTGTAGTTCAGCAAAGGTGTGATAAAAGTGCAGGACACCATGGACTGAGAAGAGAGAGGAATGAAGGACTTGAGTTCAAGCAAACAAACTCTACACCTTTCAGAGACGCTCTTTACTTCTTGTCAATGTGCGTGTCAACTGGCAGGGCAAAAACAGGAGAGCTCCAAATATTTGGGGAGGCTGGAAAAAGGCCTTGTTGAAGCTGGTACAAGATGAATGCACCCATGCCTCTACAATTTCCTCTGGCAATAGGTAGAGAGAGGTCTTTTGCCATGCTCTTGAGGAAACCTGAAAAGCCTCCTGGTCTATCAGCTCAAGGGACAGTTTTCAAAGATGAAGAAATATACCACATATGGGAGTTTCCACACAGGAAAACAGTCCAGAGATTGGAAAGCAGAATTCAAAGATGTATCCCTGTAGGAAATGGAAGAACATGACCTAGAGCAACCCGTGTGCTGAGAAGGCTTTATGGACACGTGCAGGGTTGACACAAACATGATGGAGTAAATGTTTTGTGACTAATTCTAGAAGGTATCAGAGGAGTACTAGCATCACAGTGCCAGATATGGTGGTTTCTACAAAGACAGTGATGAGGGAGCCTTGGGGTATTAGAATGGTACCACATTTTTAATAGAGAATGCTCCAGAGAAGGAGCTGGAGCATTCTCTATTAAAAGTGTGGTACCAGCAATTCTGGACATGAGAAGCATGGTAATACTGAGGGAAGTAAAAGAGCAGTAAGCCTAGTACAAAATGGCCTGGTGACAGAGATGCTGACAATAGTTCAGCTAGAGTAAAAGTTCATGAGGAATTATAGATAGGCCTAGATAGGTAGAACATACTGAAGATAACAATGGCACTGGTTCTGAAGATTTTTTTCCACCTCTTGGATAGGGAGGTGTCAATATAGGTAGGGAGGGTAGACCAAGGTCACCTCCCAGGACAAGGGAGGACTCGGGGATCTCCCATACTGTCCAGCCAGGGGGTTGGACCAAGGTGGTCAAGGGCCCCAAGGCCAGCCACACCAAGGTCCCCTTCCTTCTGGGGCTTTGCAACAGGTACAAACCTCTTGTAGCCCCAGCAGAGCCTGCGGAGATGCCAGTTCCTGCAGGCATGGTAGGATCACCCACCCCTACTCTCCTTAAGACGAAACGCAGAGTGGTCGTCGTGGGAGACTCCCTCCTGAGGGCAATCTGCTGCCCCGGCCCCACTAGCCCAGGGGGTCTGCTACTTCCCAGGGGCGCACATCAGGGACATAGCAGAGAGGATCCCAAAGATTATCTGGCCCTCTGACCACTACCCTATGCTCCTTATCCACGTGGGCATGAATGACACAGCTCAGAACAAACCCAGCCAGGTCATGAGAGACTACAGGGCTCTGGGAGCCGGGTTTAGCGGTTTGGGGGCACAGGTAGTCTTTTCCTCGCTCCTCCCAGTTGTGGGTCAGGGGCTGAGGAGGGAGAGACGACTTGAGGAAGTCAACCGAAGACTGCGGCACTGGTGTCATCGTGAAGGTTTCAGCTTCCACAATCACAGTCCGCTCTTTGGTGAGAGGCAGTGGTCTGCTGGGGAGAGACGGCCTCCACCTCACTCCGCTGAGCAACAGCCACAAAGGTAGATATCTTCAACAAAAGTTGGAGCAAAAACTGCAGAGAAAAGGTGAACTTCCTCAAAGTGCTATACCAGTGCTTACCAAACTTTTGGATCTACACCCCACTGCCACTCATTCAGGCCAATTCCCCAAGCCACCACTGCCACTTCCCTCCAATTCTCCCTACCAATTTCAACACTCCACTCTTCAAGAGTTTTTCATGCACTTCCCTGGGAGGGACACTCTGCAGTTGAGAAAACTGCCGCAGCACAAAAGTATGCTGTCAGAAACGAACAGATGTGCCGCGGAATTCTGCCATGGCAATGAGCTACAATAGGTATGGGGATGGGGAATACCTTAACAGGTGTGCCGCAGAAAAATGTTATTAATGTAAGTGTGCTTTGGTCTGGAGAAGGTTGGGAAATACTGCAGTATGCTATGAATTGGTGGCATCACATGATGTAGCCACAAAAGAAAATAAGTTAGGGGAGGAAATAACCACAAAAGCCCAAAAGAACTGAAAAGGAAACAGAATACAAAATTAAAGAGCTGATTTTGAAAGAGGGAAACCTCAGTTAAACAAGTGCAGGCTGCAAAAGATAGCTGACAAAGACAATGCTCCAACTCAGCCAGCTGAAGTACCTGTCAATAACTAAAGAGAAACTGAAGAGCAAGGATGCATATTTTGCTTTTTATTCTTTCAGATAAGAAAGCGGATGGAGGTGAGGGGCTAGAACATACAGTAGGGTATTCCTGAGGTCATAAAGCCTCAAATCAGAGGTCCAGGAGGTGAGCAGTATCCACATGCGAGAATACATGTGTGAACAACTACCTGAAGAACATCAATTTTTATTAAATTACAAGATGTAACTATTACTTTCTGCAAATGAAATAGAACAGTTACTAGGAAAGAGCAGTGAAAGCAAACTTGTAATTGATTACTTATTGCAGATTTTTTGGCAGCCTCCTAGCTCATTTGATCTTATTGGAGAAAACAAAAGAAGTTACATTCACTAAAAAAAAATAAAAAAAAATACAATTAATGATTAATAGTCTACAGCCTTAGATCCCATTCATAATTATTTCCTATTGCTACAAGATCTTACTGGATAAGAAATGCATGGCATTTAATGTTAATAATAATGATAAAATAATAATCATAATATACCTGCAGATAAAATATCATTATGGATACTGACAGACATAGACAAAAACCACAAAGACGCGCTTTACCGGAAGCAGCAGCACATTAGTTTGACACAGCTCTGCAGTGTCTGTGTAGTTCAGGTGCTTCAGCAGGGCTTTTTGGAGCTTTTATCTAAAACTGATTGAATCAGCTGTTAGACAAAAGGGCCAAAAAAGCTGAACACTATGCTGAAGAGTGGCTGTGCTTCAGCAATGAGCAAAGCGATTCCTACTTGTATGCTGGTTGCACCAACCATAAAAATGTTGGAAGAATTTTAAGATAATAATACTATATATATATTTTAAATTTAAGTGCAGTTAACATGAGGTTAAAAAATCATGTCACTTTGCCCGAAGGATCACCAATGATGCAAAGCAACTCAACTAATCTAGAAGGATTGTTACAGCATCTAAAGTTGCCCCAACAGTCGAAGCAGCCTCGGGACTGATTTGACCTGGCCTGTACATGTCAAAGCAACACCCAATTCATTTCCTACAGAATGCCATAATAAGAGGCAAGGATTTCTTAGGTTCATATCTTTTGGTCTGGTAATAGCTATCACACTAGGAAATCCTTGTCTTTTGCATAATTTCTCGACCATCATGGCTAAAACATCACTCTTACGCTACCACTATATAGGAACAAACAAGCTTAGTTTTCCTTATACCTGGATTTCATCTCTCATAAACCTATGATGGACACATCTTCTTTCTTTGATTCCCATGCCAGCATGGTACATGCCACAGACCACATTTAATTTCATCAGCTCAGCAGCTACTTGATTGGTAATCCTTCTTGAAGGGCAATAGACAATAGTAGGTCCTTCAAACTCATAGGTAGAACTAAGAAAAACAACAATAAAATGATATATACTGTAAATGGCAATCATTTATGAAATACACTTTTGACTTCTAACTAAACAGACAAAAAGTTGAAAAGATGAAGATTTTGCACTAAGCTGTTATTATTCTGGACATCAGCAGCTTCAAAAATCAACATTATTTTCTGATTTATTTTGAAGTTGTCAACTCTTGGGAAGATGGCGTTAACTGTCACTATTCTGTAGACTTTACTGGTATTGGGACAGTTAACACCAGCTTGGCATCTGCTTTTGGATTCTTAGCCTTGCTAAGAAGCACGTCAACAGCAGTTCAAAATCTCTTCTATTTCCATACTATTTGTCTTCCCCAAAAATACTAAAACATTAATAATTTTTGTATACTCCCACCAGAGTACAATTTCTGTGGGTGACATTCTAGCTAATGCACTAAGTGCATGTTATATTGTGCTATTCTGACACAAATGTCATGCAACTGAGGATGATGCCAAGCTGTATTAAAAAGGGCACCATAATCTTGTGGAAACTATTCAGACAGGTGGGCAGGGTGTCACTTGCCTCTCTCATCTGATTCCTTTTCTTAGTGCAACATCCTCCTGCTCCCAAATACACATGCACACTCATTACTCCAATGCTCCCAAGTAAAACATTTTTATCCCAGCCCTGTTTCCAACACCAAACTTCCCTCCTCTTACTTTTCCCCTTTCGAGCCAGATACCCACCCTCCAAACAGAAAACACCTAAAATAGGAGTAGTATAAGCAAACAGAAATAGAATCACAGAGAGCTAGTTACTGTTCAGAAAACAGCTTTATAAATGGGACCATAATAGGACAGCAGTCACAATGCAGAAATAATAGTAACAGCCACAGAAACCCAAAACCTTCCTCCTTCAGTCCCACTCTTAGGACGAAGAAAAGTAGTACCCTGGTTAGGACTCCAAAGTTTTCCCTTTTTCCAACCAGCATCCCTTATCCTTGTCAGGGTTGACTTTGAGCCAGCTGCCCTTTAGTTAAGAGCAGATATCACAGCAGTGGCAACATATGCATTAGAGAATCACAGGAGTTGTCAACGTCACTAAACTGTAGTGTTGACAGCTGAGCTCATAGTACCTCACTTTTGCTCTATGTTATCTCCCACAGATAGAAAGAGATTAATATGCATTCCTGTGGTATATAAGAGGGCTTCTGGTAGAGCAGAGCAGTTTCCCATCTTCACTCAGCCCTCTGCAGCAGAGTTAAACTGGAGGCACTACAGTGCTATGCCACCTACTCCTGCTATGTCATGTATATGGATTACCATTACCCTCATCTATAATATCTAAAGTTGCAGAAGCTCAACAGCATAGGAGTGGAGCAACTAGCATGACTAGATTCTATTGACACTAATAAGGGTTTTGTCTTGGCTATTGGATATTGGCCAGTTTTGCAGGTATAGGAAGCTGAAAATTGGATGGTAATCAGAGAAGTTTTCAGCAGTGTTGGCTTTCAGGAAGATTGGGCGAGCCATTGTTTTTAGAGTTAGCTAGGTTCACTTCTCTAAAAGAGACACAGATAACTTACATTAGTAGGGTCAATGCATGGTATAGCTGTTCTTTTGCTCATTGTTACCAGCTCTGAAAGACATAGACTTGCTATATATCTTATGGGCGTGTCCCGATGAGCACGCATGTGCAGTTTGCAGTGTCTCAAAGCAATATGAGATGCTGCAAACCACATGTGGTGCACATGCACCTGTTTGCCACGCTGCTAATTTGCAGTGCAGCAGTTTTTTTGACACTGGGAGATCCTGACGTAAAAAAACAACCCATCGCTAAAAAAAACAGCGCAGAGCACATAGCAGCCATGCGCACCACCAGAAACAGAGCCTTCCTGGCCATAGCCATTCTCTGGCTGCCAGACAGGCTTCAAGTGGCTTGTTCGGTGCTGCTGCTGCTCCAGGAGGCACCCGGGACCCCAGATAAGGCTGCTGGGCTAGAACAGATGCTGGCCCCAGCCTCCCCTATCCCACCCAGATCACTTTGTTACATGCTAAAGCACGCATGCAGGGGCATGCCTGGGGACAAATAGTAGTAGCACAATTATGAGCTGCTGCTATTTATCCCATGGGAAACGTGCATCACTGCATGTGCGTACTCACTGGAATGCACCGTATGGCCCTAGTATTTGTTTAGGGTTTCTTAAGCTTTGCAAGGTTAACAGAACCAACTGTAAGAATTGGTAGGGTATGGTATTGGTAACAGATAATGGTCTCTGTTAAGGTATTTTCTACACAAGTTGTGTACACATTTCTGGTCTTTTCCATGGGAAAAACAGGCTGAGTGTTCTTCATAGTAGTTGATGTTGGGGTCTGACGTCTTGAGACAGACCATTCCACCTGATTTGTCAGTTCACTCTGTATATCAGTTCTGCCAGCTATGATTCTAGCGCAGAGATGGATAAGTTTTTTTACATCCTTTAACATAGTGGTGTAGCTGTGTAAGAATTACTTGTTCTATTAAAAGGTGCATGCAAAATTTTCTGCAACACAGATATTCAGGAATTTTGCTTATGAATTTTTTTCTATGAAAAATGAAAGCCTTGGTCTGTACAGGGGAGTACGCAGGTTATGGTTCTGAGTTTCAAAGAAGTCAATGGGAAAGAAAGTCTTTCTGAAAATTTTATCCAAGTTTTTAACAGCCATGCTTGCAAGTAGAGGGGGTGGATTCATTCAAACTGGTACAGAGACGCATGTTAAATGTCATTGTGCTGATAAGACCTCCAAGGTGAATTCCACCTTGCCCTCTCCACAGAAATGATGGTTGTCCTCACCCCCGGGCCCCTACTAAGTTACATAAGAGGGGGATTTAAGTTCTTCTAAAAGTTAAGCACTGTGGCAGTTCTGTGTCTAGACAGTGCTGTTTTCTCTGCTGGGCTGTCATACCATTGGTCTTCCAGCAGGAAAGAGCTTTACTGTCACTTCTCTTACAAAAAGTAATTTGCTATTCAGTTAATTATTATTTGCATCATAGAAGCACCTAGAGATCCCAGCCAAGATCAAGGTCCCTACTCCTGGGTACTATATGAAGACAGCAAGAGTTCATTCATCCCTGCCCTGACAACATTATTAATAAGACAAATCAAAGGCTAAGAGATATAGAGGAAAAGAAGTTAAGTGGCCTGTCCAAGGTCACACTAGAGGTCAGTAACTGAGATGGGAAGAAAACCCAGTCTCCTGACTACAGGGATTTATACACATACCTTTTTGTCCCGCAATGTACTGGATATCCGCCACTTTGGAGCACACTGCATAACTGAGTCTGCTCCACACAAACTGATGTGAACTGCACTGCGCTACATGCAGTTATATAAGTGGCGAAATGCACATCAGCGCACAGAAAATGGCAGCAGCGCACTTTTGAACTAAAACATCTTCTATGTGTTTTAGTTCAAAAACGCACCACCGCTATTTTCTCAGCACTAAAGCACATTTCACCGCTTATACAACTGCAAGCGACACAGCACTGCACACGTTTCAAAGTGCCTGGCACTGCAGCACTTGTATGTGTAAAAATGCCCTACCATACAGGTCCAAGACTATTTCCTTATCATTCTTGATTTTATCCTGGACTTGGATAGCATCGGAGATAGAAAAGCAGCAGCACACAGTACAAATAAGTTAGTAAATTCTCACCTTCCCTTTTTAATGAGGAATCGTTTTAAATCCTGAGGGATACTGCCAGTCTTCCGTCCAACTTCCAAGTACAGATTAGGTCGGTCAAAACTAGTACACGTGACCTGAGGATTCCTTAGGCGCAGACAGTCTACTATGTCTGCTCTAACCGAAGGACTTGCTGTTGCAGTTAAAGCAACAATAGGAACCTGAAATGAAAAGTAGAGATAAACAAGAGAAATCAGGAAAAAAGAGAGGCCATTAATTCCTGCTTTGTAAGATTATTCTAAATCACAGATTCACAGAAGTTTAGGGGTGGAAGGGACCTTGTGAGATCATCAGGTCCAGCCCCGCTGCTCTGGGCAGGAAAGACTGCTGGGGTCAAATAACCTCAGCAAGGCGTGTGTCTAGTCTCCTTTTGAAGATCTCCTGGGTAGGTGCCTGTATCACCCCTGCTGGGAGTCTATTCCAGAGTCTGGTCACAAGAACCATGAAGTTTTCCCTTATATCCAGTCTGAAACCTTGTTCTAGGAGTTTATGACTGTTGCTCCTGGTTTTCCCCTGGGGTGCTTTGGTGAATAGTTGTTCACCTAGCCCCTGATGCTCCCCGCTGATATATTTGTAAGTTGCCAACCGATCCCCCCAAAGTCTTCTCTTTTCTAGGCTGAACAGTCCCATATATGTCAGCCTTTCCTCATAGGGCTTGCTCTTCAGGCCTTTAATCATACAAGTGGTTCTTCTCTGGACTCTCTCAAGTTTCTCCACATGGTTCTTGAAGTGTGGCATCCAGAACTGGATGCAGTACTCCAGATGTGACCTCACCAATGTCGGGTATCAAACAGGATGGGATTAGATATCATGATCTGTTTATCATTCCTGGAAAACCCTGATGCTTTTGAAAAGTGCACACAATACTTAGCAACTTAGAGCTGTCTTATTGTCACAAGAGATCGCTCAAAAAATCACCAAACAGTTACCTGCCTAGTGGGGAGGAAGGGACAAAAGAACACAAAGTTATATTTCAAATATATACATTTTAATGTAATTGAATTATTACTTTTATTTCTATCTGCAATGTGATTATGTTCATTTTCAAATACAAGGGCCTAAAAGTTAGGTACCCGAGAACAAAGTCTCCACAGATATGTGCCAAAAGTTAGGCCCCTAAATCCCTATTTAGCTAAGGATGGGTGTTTTAAGAGTACCTCAATTACTAGAATTCAGTTAGATTCTGTGGTCATTCAGATAGTTTTGAAAGTCCCATCCTTAGGCATGTAATTTTCTGCGT